GTGCCCTACCAAAGGTTGATGGAGTTGGGTGGGGGGCAGGTGTGGTTGATCTTTATATACACAGCAAACAAAAAGTTTGGTAAAGAAATTATATTCATTCTGCCATGGCCTCCACAGCTAGCATTCAGTCCAAATTTCAACCCAGAATCTACAGCTGGGGCCCAACTAACCTGCTCATTGCTACTCAGGCTGTAACCACAACTATTCAAAAACAGTGGTATTCCTTTTCTCGTAGAAGCAATACAGCTTGTGACAGGATCATTATTTTTTTTTCCTTCAGCTCCCCATTAGTCAGCACTTTCTTTGGTCTCCTATTCAGGACACTGTTGTGAGTTAGCAGAAGCTATTAAGGTATTCTCTTATTGAAGTGATCACACTAATTTAAACTCTAAGCATCCCTAAAAATGTTAATTTTTTTGAGTTAGTCCCACGTTGGAGCGATTACTCCTTTGTAAGTTTCTTGTTTATTTAATCCAGAAGATTTAAATTTTGGCATTGTAAGATCTATATTTGTTTAAATAGAGTAAAAGGTAAATACCTCTGCATGAAAGCTCTTCAAAAATTCATAACACTTCCTTTAGTTATTTCTTTACTTGATATATTTGTATATTTACAATTAATTTTAATGCTTGTAGAAAGAACAACTTACTTTTCTTGGTCCTTTGAATTTGAACAGGCAATCATTTTGATTATTATATTTAATAAATATTTGCTGTGATCTGGGATTTCAAAGAGATTTCTGTACATCAGTAAGAATCCAGCATTCAGACTGTTGCAAACCTTGTCTCATTTGCAGACAGAATTACCTAACCAATAGGCTCTGACAGTGATTACAATAGATCAATCACCATTATTTATGGATGTTGGCTGCTCTCAAAGTAACGCCTTCTACTTACTTCCACAGAATCAACAATAGGTACAAAGAGCACAATAACACTATTTGATACAGAAAACTCTCAGCTACAAAATGCTATTTTTCAGCACAGTTACCACCATTAGTTATACACTATGCAACAAGAAAATAACTGATTGGAAGAGCTCAAATTCAGAGAAATTCCAAGGCAGAAGCTAGATGAAAGTAAAGTCTTCTACAATTCCATCCTGACTTACGACAGCTGTGCGAAACATACTGCAATTCTCAAAATTTAAAAGGCAAAATTGTCTGAAATGTTATCCAACAGCATCTGTACTTATGTGAAGGGAGGTGTACAGATCAGTAATTCTCATTTCTTAACTTTATTTATAATCACCCAGTAAGCGAAAGGAGAAAAATAAACACGAAGTTCAGACGAAAGCCAAAGGCATCATACAGTAATTACACTTGCTGCTCCAAATCCTGCATTATATTTGCTAGTCCTGTGTGGGCAACCCAGACAATACAGAGATATCAAAATGACAATACACACATCTATGAGCATGGTGCCCAAATCATCCATTCCTACCTATCATGCTTACGAAGTCTGTATTCAGGTACCTGAATCTCACTTGAAATGCCAAAGATCATGAAAACCTGGGGAATTTTATTTTTTTAAATCTCACATATGCTTCACTTTATGTTCACCTAAATATGTCAAGACAGCTCAAGATTGTGAAAAAAGATAAACAACCAGACAGAAATTCTGTCAGCAGCCTCTTCCAGATCAGAAGACAGTTTTTCCCACACCAAGTGCCTCCAGCTAGAACGACACAGTCTCAGTGCACATTGAAACACAGGCTTGCTCTGTTTAGTAACAAAAGCTCTCACGTTAAGCAATAAACAAAGCCATTTAGAAAGACATATTCCACAGCTGTCCTTCACTCAAGACCTCCCAGATCTCCCTGCAGCAATTTCAGTGTTTCTACACAACACATGCCCTAAGCTTTCACCCAACCTCTCCAACAGTGCCCAAACACGCAAGCTGCTGACACCACCTACCAGAAGCCTACTCCACTCCATCAGAAATTCACATTTGGCCCACTAGACATAAAGCAGCTCTTCCACACAACGCATAACGCTGCTTACATGAAACACTGAGCCTCTCTGAACAGCACTCACAGCTCACTTTATAATCATACTTCTGACTAGATATTTATGTTTTTATACAATAGAATTTTCAAGGACAATTAAAAGAGAGCTTATCTTGTAAATATTTTTACTATCAATTTTATGTTCATCCCATTCAACTCAGCTCCTCCCCAGTAGCCAGAAATAGGAAAAACAATACCTGTTTCACTGTATACATGCATTTGTATATTGAATACATATGCATGTGTGCATCCAAAAAATTACTTATTACGTAGCACATTATTTGTATTATTATTTATGTATTCTTATCATTTGATATTTCCAGTCATACAAACACCTTCATTCAGATTAGCTGCATCTTACTGTGTTCTACTACCAGAATGGCAAATCACTGTATTAACAGGCAATGCATAATGACATTATAAGGTGACATATGGTCAAAACTAATACGAAATATGAATCACCCACTTCTTCAAAGTCTGATTAAAAAAAAGCTTTAATATTGGATGGATGAGATCCTGATAACACCTGTAGTTACAATATCAAATTAAAAGGCATTAGCTGAAGTAGCCAAAATGACAATAGCTACCTTAACAGGAGGTAATGTGCACTACACTCATCACTGAAGTGGGATAATTATAAATTGCTTACGAAATGTTAAACAAGCAGTATGACAAGACAACATTTAGTTACAGACCACCTTCTTTCTCGTGAATAAAAAAGAGTCACAGGAACAAAAGGTGAAGAAGAAAGACAAAGACTCCCATCAGACATTACTGATGAGGTTCTGTCTATACAGTAGAACTCTGGAAAATCAGCCCAAATTAATTTAACTAGATTTGTCCAAGTCTATTAAATTCCTTTGCAAACACTTTCATCTGGGAGTAAAAATGCGGTGTTAATTTGGCTCAGCTCATCTTGCCTTTGAAGTGAATTAAACTAAATCCACTGGAGGCCATTTTAATAATGAATGGAAGAGTGTACACAGCGACTAGGTGGGATCCAAGCCGTCCCCTTTAAATTTCCGCATTCAGTTGACTTCCATCAATTCTCCTTGGTATCTTGTACAGATGAGTCCTGGCCTGATGCATTAGACCCAGAAGTGAAAAACAGAGAATGAGGGAAGACGTGCTGAAAAGTCATCAGTCAGCACAATAAGTCCCTGTGGGAACTATCAAAGAGAAAGGCTGTTCAACTTCAGAAATGTTATTTAAAACATTTATTACTTGCTTGTTTACTGGAATTCCTTGAAGCTAGAAGTATTGACAAAAGACTCTGCTAAATTACCTTTTGAGGAGACTTACTGAAAAACTAGAGACTAGAACCTTATATTGCAGGCTAAGATAAAAGAATGTAGGGAAGATTGAAAAGATAAGGCTGCGCTTAAAAGCTACAGCACACTCCTGCTGCAGAAACATCACAGAAAGCTAAAGACGCTCAATATCTTAAAATATCTGAATCCCCTTCAAATCTTCTGAAACAACTACAGTCTCCGCAGCAAGGGCTCTCAGAGGTGCTTTCCTGGCGCTGCACAAGTACAGCAGCTGCCCTGTGCCAGATGAGAGCAAGGAGATAAATTCACTACTCAGGCAATGTTCCACCTCACTGTGCTGCAGGAACACTTTTACAACTGTCTTTTCATGGAGCTTGAGAAGGATTTCATAATACTACGGCACTATGCATGATCTCAGAGAGAAATGTGTCATAGATAAATGAGAAGTTCATGGAAAGAAGGGTCCACAACAGAAATGAGCCAAAAAGCGGGAGAGAAGAACTTTCCACATCCATCCCCATCAAAATTTTTCCAGCATATAGTAGTTTCATTGTTATGATGTCTTTGCATTCAGGCAGGACAACAGATAAGGGCCAGAACATAAGACAGTTACAGCATCTCCCTTATTTTATTCACACAAGTTCTCACAGCATGCTAGTTTTTGTCTGGCAGAAGGCAGCGGAAAGGTAATGTAGTGCCACTGATAAAAATGGAATTTCCCTAAAACAAAGCTTCATTTTAAATCAAATTCAGGTATCAATTATTCTTTTATATGGGAGAATAATAAATACATAGGCAGTATACATATGCAGTATCTTGTACTGTACTGAAAATACAATCTGAGACCTCTTATTAAATGCACAATTTCATTAAGAAACATGTCTCTTCCACTACAGTGTACCTCTACAAACCACAAGCAATTAGAATAAACTATATTTTCTTCTTATTTTGAATTTTTTCTTCGTTTTTTCCCTTACATTTACACATTGTTCATTATGCTTCTGCAAGAAAATATTGTTCTGAACATATTCCTCCAAATTTCAGCCTTCAGATAAAGAAGGTACCCTGGCAAAAGCTCTAACCTTACAGTTTCTTCTATCATCCATATATTAAATACTTCACAATTACTCTGCATGCATACAATTTACCTCAGTAAGTAGAAAAGTGTGATACTGAATAATTATTATTGGGTATACAATGTAGGGTTGGTTTGGTTTTTAACATAGAATTGCATTAGAAGTTAACACTTAAGCCTACATGAAAAGCATGCAGCTCAAAACGTAGCACAATGAAAAGCAGAATAATCACTAGCTGTTTCTTATGTTTTGAGTTATTTAGTCTCCTGCTTCTACATTGGGAATACTATAACTGTCATAGCAACGTGAGGCTACATCTTCATTTACAACACAGATGATTTTCTAGGTTGTGTTATTCATGCATCCAGTTTGCTAAGCACTGCAGTAAATATTTAATAGGAGTAGGGAACGAGGAACAGAATACACAGGTATGATGCAATGGTACTCCACAATCAGGAAGCAGCTCAACCTCAAACTGCTTCACAACAAGTTATTTCCTCCAATACTCTCACTTAAGAGCAAACAGCTGCTGCTAAAAGCTAGACTGCCAAGATTAGTTCTCCTGTTAAGGCTGCTTGCTCTTGAGCCATAAATAGATACAAAGCAGTTTAAAGCTACCTTTAAGCAAGTTTTTCATTTCACTTACTGTGAACAGACTTTTCATAAGATTTCCTTGAGGCAAGTGTCTGATAGGCGTTATGCTGCTGGTTTTTGGTAAGGAAAATACTCCATTTTTGCCACAGTAAAAGGTATGAATAAGCAAAATTGTGTCCCCTGAGAAATCTGCAAAAAAAAAAAAAAAAAAAAAAAGACAAGATATTAATCATTGCTTTTATTCCACACTATTTGAATTACATCAATCACTGTCAAAAGACAGCTTTGCCTTTGACAGCAATAGCTTAATAGATGCACTACTACCAATGCAGATAATTGGTAAACGCAATAAATTGCATTAAAAAGATTACTTGAGCAGCTGTAGTATGAAATGTTTGTAAGCTTATATAGGGTACTTACTGATAAAACTATGCAACCATTCCTTATTTTCTCCTAGATGGACATTAGAAAAAGGTTCTGATGCTCAACTGTATGCTCGGTGCACAAGCAACACTAAGAGCTCAGTACAGTTTTTTAAAATGGAGTCTCATGCATTTTCAGACCTTGAGGTAAATAACTCAGCTGCTGTTTCCCAGTTGTCTGTTTTGAATTCTGCATCATTACTTATACGAAGGCAATGCATATAATGGTGATTTTTCTATGTTCCCCATAAAAATACCAATTCCACTGAGTGGTTCACCCCCCAGCTTCAGTGACAGACAGTGGTATGAAAATTTCCCCTCTTGCAGTGTCCTAAAAAGAAAGGAAGAACGGAACTTCTGAGGTTGAGATCATGTATAAAAAAAGCAATCTTGGAAGTTCTCATATACACATAACAGAGAGCACATCAAGTTACTGCACTGGAGCCTAGCCAGGCACCCGTGAAATGTGATGGAATTCAGCTCAGCATATACAGCAGCTAGGTAAGCAGGAAGGAGCTCATACAGACATATTATGCAACCAAACTGAAAGGGCAAACTTCCCCAACCCCACAACTCCCATCATTGTTTCTCTGAGAGGAAGTTCTTTGGTTAATGCTTTTATTTTAGTGAAGTTAATTAAGAAGAATAGAAGGTCTAGTTCTATTTCCTATTAAAAAAATGATGCTCAAAATGTCATCTGCAACATTTTTCAGACCAACTAGAAATACAAAGGAGAAAATATAGAGATTTGAAACTTGGAAGCTTGAATGATTCATTTCACATCCTGAAGATGCATAATTTAATGTAGCAAATACTTTCCGTGTGCTTCACTTGAACTATATAAGTAATTGATGATCTTTGAAGAACCCATTAGTAAAACTGGAAAATCTTCATCAGATACACATGTAGAGATGGAAAGCACCTTTCCACCCATGTGAGTAGTACAGAACAGTATATCATCAGATGTATGTATTGAAGGTCAAAGGTAAAACTGTGGCTTTGTCATGACTCATTTCTTTGCCAGGTAATAACACAAAACATGCAGTTCTTCTTAAAAATAAAGGCAAAAGAAGTACTGTACTATTGCAAGTCTGTGCTGTTTTCTTTCAATCTGTTTCTTCCTCGCCATAATTCATTTGCAAAGTTCTAGTGATAGTATAGGTATACTTTCACTTTATTTTCAGTCTAGATTTTCACTTCATTTCAAATCTAGTAACATGGTTAGAGAGCCTATTCTGAAGTTACCTAGTATCAAGAGTGGCTCTCCAACCTCTTAAAAAATACATAAAATACTCTAAAGCAGCAAAAAGTCCCTCTTTCATTTAATTAAATCAATTTCTTAGCATTAAGTTTTCTCTCCCTACAACTAAGATGCAACCACCTCTGAAGTCATAAAAGTTTTTAATTCTTTTACTGTAATTCAGACAATCTTGGAAGTAATAATAATAAGCAGGACATTCAGGTTCAACAAGGAAAACTGGAAGCTGATTCATCAAGGAAAGCGTCACAAGGAAACATGCAGAGGAACTGGACGCAATAAAAAGAAAAAGCATCGGTAATTAACAGATACCCAAAATCTGATGGTAAAACAGTGCAGCCTGATTTTGAGTGCTGCTGAACATTTCTAACCAACTTCAATGGGATGAGTGGATATTCAGTGCCTCTGAGAAGTAGACTGCTAGTTCTAACAGCCACTGTCGTCACCATCCATCATTATGTGCTATGAAAAGCAGGACACAGTTGGAGTTAAGTAAGTGAAACAGGAAATTTAGAAAGCCAGAGAAAAATATGGAAGTTCCCATTAATTGCAAAGTAAGCCTGAAGGCATTGAGACAAAAACCTGTTCAGCACACTGAATATCAATTTCTACAGGCACCAGCTTAAGAAAATTATAATGGCGCCTGTTTCTTTACATGTAAACCAAGCTCACACAGGTGAACAGTGCCTAGACTTCTATAGTCTCTCCTGAAACAAACTGCTCATCACAGACCGTAAGACAGTAAAGAGGAAGAGAAAATACAGAAGAATTTGAGTCCGCTTCGAGCTTTAGTCATCAAATCTGATGACAACAGAACTCTAAGGAATTATGACACATTTTGCATAGTTTACTGCAAGCTTTAGCACATAAGCATCTTCCACCAGCTCAATTCACTGAAGAAGGAACTATTTACATCTACATTTTAAAACTCATCTTAAACACAAATTTCAATAACAACTGTATTTTTGCCTTTTTTCCCTCAATAATAAACCCTCAAAATAAAAGACTTAAGTATTCACTTACCCAAAGTGATATTCCCTGTCTCACATTTATACATTGTTAAAGACATAAAGACATAAAGAAATTCTCTCAAGTATCAAGGCAGAAAATTCTTTTTCCTGCTTATTAGACAGAAAAGCAAGGAAGAAAGAAGGAATCTTCTGACTCTTGATTCAAAACAAAAAGACGCAAAGATGGAATGGAGACGATTTGAAAGATGATTTAAAACTATATTTGTGCATCATATGAAATAGAAACAGCTGAGAAGGGGCCAGAAAGAGAAAATTATCTCATGAGAGCAACTGGTCCCACAGCAATCTATCAGTAGTGTTTGGCAAGACTATGGATCTCCCAGGAGAGAAAACAATTTTGCTGGAAATCTTACTCTACTGTCATCTTTAAAAATAGACAACTAATTAAACTCCTCAAAATGGTGGTTAAATGGGTGACCGATCATAGCACGAGAAGTGGAGAAACAGAATAACTCATTCCACTACTCAGGTTTACAAAAACCTATTTGAAAACATGTTTTTACAGTTAGTGTCAACAAACTTTCCACTCAATTGGTCGGTCAGTTTTACCAGTGCACATGTGCACTATCTCCTCATCTAAGTCAGATTTTCTCTTATTTACAAACATTTTGGAAGAAACAAAAAAAACCCTCCTGATTTTCCACTGGACCACTCAATTAACTGGAAGTATTCTCCTTTTCACAACAGACAGAATGATCTAATTGCTGGAAGCTGCAGTCAACAGACACAGAAAAGCAAAGCATCTATTGGCCATAAGACTTAAAAATAAGCCGAATTTTATCTCCTTGAAAATATATTTTTTTCCAACCACTAACATCAAGGGAAAAGTAGGGGTGTCACTAAAATGAGAACATTATCACCATGAACTAGTCAAATGCTTAAACTTGGATCTGAACTGAGATCATGCCATGCACATCCTATCTGTGCTTGAAGTACCAGAGATGTATGTGGTTATTTGCAACATAAACGCTACTCAAACTGCACAGCAGATAATATTTTCTGATACGCAACATCAACGTTAATGGCAATAATCTTTAAAGATCTTCAACTAAAAAGAACTAAAAATAACACTTTCACAAATAGATTTCATCAAAAAGAGACTGAACTGCTACTTCTTCAGCAGCTTCAGACAACCCTGAATCTGATCTGCACTTTTTTTTTAAAACAGCTTATGTGACCATAGAGTCTGCATATAGACGGGCGTGTTTGATTAAATCAGACTGCTAGTCTCCTGGAGTTAAGCCATAGCCAAAAGGTGCAAAATTATGTAAACAACCACCAGCAGGGGACCTGAAAATCTGGCTCTGCATTTTCTCTATAGTTCAAGTGACAAAACTGAAAGCCCTGAGCAGGGTGCTCCCCAACAAAAAGGCATCCTGAGAATTTCTATTATACTTGCCACCACTACTGACAGATGATTAGGAAACTTCCACATAGCAATTTACCTTGTCAATGTCAGAGCCTGTTAGGATGTCACCCCAGCAGGTGTCACTACTGAAGGTTCACCATGAAAGTCTTTCTGAACTATCAGCCCTGTTCCAATCCAATCAAGACTTTAGAACATAATCATCTCATCATATTGTTCTCTCTCTTTTCCATGAAGGCATCCATCCACTAACTACTGAAGACGAACACATGCAGATTTTCAAACCGAGTCTTCAGCAAAAGCCTCTTTTTCCACATGGAATTCAAAAGTTACGGACAAGAAATGGACTTGAGACTCAAGAAATCTGGCTGAGGAAAGGACTTGAACTAGTAGAATATATCACTTTGTCCTAGCATGGAAAAGAAGTACTAAAGTAACACAACGAAAGGATAGCTAACAGGTCAATACGCTTTCATCTCACCTTGGCAAAACACTGAGGATGCAGAGGATGCACTGCTAATGGAGTAAGGAAGAGCAGAAAGGATCTGCAGCCACTTCTCCTCTGTATTTCTAATAGGCTGAACAAAATATAGCAATGGTTTATTTTAAACTCTTCCTCACCATAAGAGAAGAAGCAAAGAAAAAATTCAGTTTTTAGTTTTTATGGCTCTTTCGCTCTCACTCCTAGGCTCAGCATCTTTCTCCTGGTCATGACTAAGCTGACTACAATATCAAACAGCATAACATACATTATTTATTCTGAAAATGAACAGTGAGGAGAAACACCCCATTTCAAGCACCATTTGCATTTTGCTGCACTGTTTCTGTGACAAAATAACCTCCAGTATTCTTTCAAAAGAACACTAGCACCTAAAGAAAAAAATTTGATCGTGAAAGCTAAAGTTCATTATACAAGCATATCAGAAGCTGCACCTACAGGCACAAATGTGATAAGCAGTAAGTAGCACACAGTCTTGTGACCTTCAAGATTTACAAACAAGCTCTAACGTTTTTCAGAAACAGCAGCTAGTTCTTAACACTGCGGGTACCGACCTGTTCTGTTTTGTCTGGACCCATCTATCTGCTTCCAGCCAATAACATTCACACAGCAG